CGGTAGCTTAAAAGAAACTTTCAAAATGAAAATAAATTCCCAATTGGAAACTTTCCAAAACGGAAAGTTTCCTTAAAATGGAAACTTTCCGATTCCCATCTCTAGTTAAAAGGCATATATTAACGGCGAAATATGACAGCAGGTCTGAAGTATTATTAAATATTCATCAGATTTTTTTTTAAATAATCTATATTGCCCAGGTTATAGTCATTTTTTTGAAAAATTGTTGCAAATGGAAATACGACCCTTTGAAAAATCACTCCTCAATTGGGGTACATATGTAGATGACGAAAATGATATTTTAGTTAGATTTGCGTCTTGACCTCTTCAACCATATCTTTTCAATACATGAGTTAAACAGCCTTGGATATATCTTATCTTATCTTTGGGCAATATTCTATTCTTAAAAAAAGTAAGAACCAAGCGACTTTTCCAACTTCCAAAATAAAGAAAATTTGCTATTAAGCAAACAAATTTTCTGCTTTTTTGGGTGCCCTAAACACGAAAAACCTCTGTTGCAAAATTCTTTTAAGACAGTTTAATAAAAGTATAACTACACCTTTGTGTATACAAAACGTAAATTTAATAAATTTATAACAATAAAAATGCTTTCGTATTACTTTAATTTCATCATTTGATTTGTATTTGTTTAACCATTTCTGTATGAAAGCATTTTTTGTTATATTTGCATTTTCAAAAATTGTAATAAAATATTTAAAACATCAAATTGAAACTAACCGTATGCACTATACATTTAATTTTAATTATGTAAATTTTTAATGAAATACCTGTAGCATTCAATTACTTCCCGTTTTAAAATAATTCAATCAATCAAGTCGAGTATTAAATTTAATTAATTTTGGTAAAACATACCTAATTAATATCCATTTTTGTGAGTTTGAAACCGAAATACATTTTCATCGAAATACATTATGTAATTATTTGATTGGCACAAAAAATGATACAAGGAACTTTTTTTGAAAAATTACGTAAATTTTGATGTTTAAAAAAAAAACGTTAAATGTGACAACGTGGCATTGTAGATTTGAAAACGTCGCCTATTTTGGAAAGTGACAACGTTGCATTGTAAATTTGGCAAGATGGCGAATTTGTTAATGTGATAATGTGCAATTTAAATTCGGCAACATAAAAATTTGACAACGTCGATTGTTTAGAAATTTGACAATTAATTATGTGATTGGCACAAAAAATGATACAAGGAAACTTTTTATTACATAAGGATGTATTTTGCAAAAATACGTAAATAATTTAATTTTGATGTTTTTAAAAGAAGCGTTAAATTTGGCAACGCCGCATTTTAAATTTAACAACGTCGCTTATTTGGTAAATTTGACAACGTCGCTTGTTTAAAAATTTGAGAACGTTGCATTGTTAATTTGGCAACATCGTAAATTTGTAAATGTGACAACGTTGCCGTTTAAATTTGGCAATATAAAAATATCCACTTTTGTGAATTTAAAACCAAAATACTTGTGTAATTATGTGATAAATAAAAATCGTTTTAAAATTTAAACTAAATCATTGTCAACACTCACCACTAAAGTGATTGTTTAACGCCTAGGCTGTAAAAATATCTAGGGTATTTCCGCGAAACCTTACCCCACCTTAATTAAATGTGTTATTTAACAAAACAAAAACTATATCTGAAGTCAAATAGTTTAATAGCGACGTAATTGAGAACCTTAAAATATTCGTACATTGTAATGTCAAGAAGCTAACTTTCAGAATAAACACGGAAGAGTTTCAATACTCGATAAGAAGTTCAAATGTCGCACCCGTTACATTTTGAGAAAATTTAAAAAAATAAATTATACAATATTTGTGCATTTAAAATACGTGCTTTTTTGAGGTTACTATTCATGTTTTACACAATTATTACTATATCCTTTCATCCAAAATTTTACAGGATCAACTTTGGAAGCCAACTTGGTCGTATCTTGATATATCTGAACAAACACTTTATCATCATGAAAAAACGCATTGTCAGTGTCCCACCCGTCACTTTCTACTTTTAATAATTACTATTATAATAATTATTGTAGATACATTTTATGAATCGTTTAACAAATAAAATTATGTCTTGAAGATAAAATGTTGTAGCAATGCGGCTGAGAAGTGTCTTTTTGTGCTTGGTTTAATTTTCGGAATTCAAACTTTGATCTCAGTACAAAAATACTCACTTTTTAGCCTTATGACATAAATGACTATTCTACGAAAATACGTAAAGAAGCAATCTAAATATTTACTTAAATCGGTAATTTATTTTGATACTGTAATAGTTATTTATGTCATTAGGTTAAGACGTAAGGCTTTTTGTGCTAAGCTCAAGGTGCGAAGCACAAAAAGGCACTTCTTGGCCGAATGGCATACAACATTTTATCTTCAAAGTACTTTATATGGGTCAATTTAATTCAACATCAAAGCGGCCTAACCTCACTTTTTTATAATCTCATTTATTTATTAGCTAAAGATTACATTAAATGTACAATAATTATTATTGCTTTTAGAAGCAGTAATAGTTTGACAATACCTAGCAACATGATTTAAGTAGAAATGGATTTTTGCTATTACATTGAATTTAATTAATTGTTTAATAAATAAGTACGTATCTAATTTCAATTTGTTTGGATTTTTATTTAAAAAATAGGTAGTTTGGAATGTTTAAGCTGTGTTTAACATTTAATTTCACTGAAAACTTAAAGCAAATTAAAACTTAAAGATAATTTAAATCGTAGAAAAAGAATCGTGCGTTTTCTTGGTTGCCTAACCTCACTTTTTGTTTTATTATTCATATTTATTTTACAATAATGAATGAAAAATATTAAACATTAACAGTAAAACAAACAAATTAGTAAACATTCAATTTTCTTAGTTTCTTTAAGAAACTTTCTTGACCCATCACTGGTAATATTCATAAGAAAAAATTGAACCTACACCTCGCCAAAGATTTTTGTTTTGAATGCGTTCCACCAACTTCAAATACCGACAGACAGCTGTTTCGACCTTTATTGGGTCTCATCAGTGTCGGGCAACTTGGTGTAGTGGAACACAATCAAAACAAATTACTCCCTCAGCTTATATGCTCGGTTGATAAGTCAACAGAGGCGAGATGTAAGAACATCAGGTGATCCACACCGTCAAACGACGTGGCCTTTGCCGCAATCGGTACATACTATGCAACCGGGACTGCACACAGCAATTGTATCACAGATACTAATATGGCCTAAAGGAATCTAGAATTAACCCAACCGGGCTAAACATTAAGGTAAACATTCAATTTTCTTAGTTTCTTTAAGAAACTTTCTTGACCCATCACTGGTAATATTCATAAGAAAAAATTGAACCTACACCTCGCCAAAGATTTTTGTTTTGAATGCGTTCCACCAACTTCAAATACCGACAGACAGCTGTTTCGACCTTTATTGGGTCTCATCAGTGTCGGGCAACTTGGTGTAGTGGAACACAATCAAAACAAATTACTCCCTCAGCTTATATGCTCGGTTGTTAAGTCAACAGAGTATGTACCGATTGCGGCAAAGGCCACGTCGTTTGACGGTGTGGATCACCTGATGTTCTTACATCTCGCCTCTGTCTATAATTTTTAAAAGTCGGACTGTCTGATGCGGCCTTTGACGGTAAGCACCGCAGCACACGCCGTTCGTGAGCGGCGGTTGCTTATATAATATACGAGCCCAGAATCATATCATTTGGCCCAGTCACAGAAAAATCAATATTTTATTTTTTACTTAATTTTGGTAAACACAAAAGAAAAATCTATTGAATTCAACTATTATTATTGTTATTCTTTTGTTTTTGTTGTCTAAAATTAAGTAAAAAATAAAATATTGACTTTTCTGTGACTGGGCCAAATGTGTATTTACTAAATACGCATAAATACTATTTATTAAATACCATTTAGATAATTAAAATAAAAATTTATAAAATAAACAACTTTTTCTTTTCAAAAACGTGGTTTTGCCGCCATCTGTTAATAATATTATAAATGACAGTTGTGAATAAAGCTAGATTGTTAAATAAAATGGTTTAACTAGTGTTTTTTTATGGATATTTGACTAATTTTGTTGTTTAGAGAGTAATCTTTTGTTTAAAAACATTTGCCTTTACATTAAAACTTACTTTAAGAAGTACCTATGAACCATCATGAAACATAAAGTAATATCTTATAGCATTTGATATATCTTTCTTCGGAAGAAATTCTTTTTCATAGTGGTCTTTATATGCTGCCAAAAGAATTTGATTTGTTGGTTTTTATTTACCGTGCAATTTGCGGTTAAGTTTTAAAACAATCATAACTTGGTTAAAAACTCGTTTATAAAAACCAGTTAAAAATCGATTTTTCTGAATAATCAAAAACCGGTTTTGGATCAATTTCTAACCGGTCTTAAAAACCGAATTTAACCGGTCAAAAAAATCGGTTTTTGTAACCGGTCAAAAAAATCGGTTTTTTAACCGGTCGAAAAAACCGATTTTTCAACCGGTCGAATTAACCGGTTTTTTCGACCGGTTAAAAACCGTTTATGTACGGTTTTCAAAACCGGTTTTTTTTAAAACCGGTTAAAAATCCTATGACCGGTTAACCGCCTCATAATTTTATTTCTGACAGCCCTAGTTCCACTACACCAAGTTGCCCGACACTGATGAGACCCAATAAAGGTCGAAACAGCTGTCTGTCGGTATTTGAAGTTGGTGGAACGCATTCAAAACAAAAATCTTTGGCGAGGTGTAGGTTCAAACAAATTAGTGCTTATTATAAATAAATTAAACCAGTTTAGTACGTTAATTTCTTAGAAAAGGATTAATTTGTCAAAACAATACCCCTAGCGAGAAAAAATCGAACTAATTACTTGCCTCATAAAAATTTTTATCGGCCTAGGCCATAACAAGGTATTTCTTTATCGAATGTTGACAACAATAAAGTTTAAATTATAGACCGCGTGGAGATAAAATCAGTTACTTACCAGTTTCAAAGGATATCTCGCTGAGCAGGATCCATTTGTCGGGGAACGTTAGTCGTAGTTTTATAAATTTGGCAGGCCTGCCTCTCAACTGAACGGTGATGTTTCTAGCCGATTCCCTGGTTCGGTCCACCGGAATGACCGCTATGACAGGCGAAGGTTGATACCGCTCGCCATCCAGACTGAACCAAACTTCGCATAGTGTAAAAATCTGAAACAAAAAAAGGTATTTTAATCGAAAGTAGTCAACAGTTCTACTTTACTGCCGATTTAATACGAGTATTGTATGCAACCCATTATACATTTTAAGATGTGTCTACTGCTCCTCAGCAGCAACTAAATAATATTTTAATAAAAGCACCGTCGCGGAGGTCGATTGGACCCTTTCATAAAATGTTGTTTAATAAAATTGTATTAATTAGATTATAGTATACATAGACACTTCCTACATTCAAATGACATTTGATTTAATCATCAATATTAATTATTAGTATTATTAAATGTGATTTCGGATAAAATTTAATATGCACCTCGGCATTAAAGTCATTTTTTATCACTCACGTGGTTATTTGCCTCGGCTTTCGCCTCGGAAAAAAATTTCCACATTCATGATAAAAAATACGACTTTACGCTAAAGAAGTATCGGGTTGTCGCAACGCGCGCGCCATCTGGTAGACTTCGGTAGCATTGCGTGAATTTAAGAAATGTCAACAATACATTTAGAGCACAGATTCATTAATAGGTCGTTCCCAATTCAGTAAAATCCAAAACTAATTTATTTTTTATTTAATGTGGCAGCAAGTGCTTAGTTTATTAATATTCAGTAAACCATCAAAAATTTAAATCCTTAGAAATTTTATAAATCTGAAATTTTGTGGTCACATTATCAAAAAAACACCCAATTTCTCAACTCTGTGATTGTTCCTCCCCAACAAATATGATTTAGCTCTAACGATAACTTCTAAGTTAATGACAAAATTAAAACTCTGAATTTATTTTGCATAGAAACAAACTTTTTTTAGTTTAAATTACACTAAAAAAACATAAAAATCCTTTAAAATTCCTTTTAGCAGCTTTTTAAACTCCTGTTACCAAAGTAATTCTCATACTCTGTGAAGGGCATTTTAATTAATATATCATTCAAAAGATGGCACTACATACAAAAATGAACAAATGGGGATTCTGCTTGACAACAAGCAAGAATATTTTGTTTCAATGTCAGTTTGTTTGGAGCACTGATAGTGTGTATTTTATAGGTTATGTTTTTTTTAAATTTGACACGTGGTCATAAAGATTTCTCATCTTTGTGAAGCCTTTTATAAAGGTAAGTTAACAAAAATAGTGATTTTTATTTTGTGCAATAATAGTGTTTTTGGGTGTTTTAGTATGATATAGTTAGAGGATCCTAGAAAAAACCCTGTGAAATAATATATATAAGAAACTTCTTAAAAATTCTCAACTTTGTGAAGCTCAACTCTGTGAAATTTTAACTACTCTTTTTCAATTTTTTTAAGAATATTTAATAAAGTGTTTGACCAGTAGTTTATTATTATTCCCCAAGCCATGCCCTTTCAAAAAATATTAGTGAAATATATTTATTAAAGTATTTATATTTTACAAACATAGATAACGCAATTAAAGAATTTAGAGATAATTACATAAATACATAATTTTTAAATAAATAGTTAGTTTTTTCACAAAAGAGAGGAAGTCTTACTTGACAAATTTTGTTCAATTGCACAGCTAAATCTCGCACGTTATTTGTGTTTTACGTTGCAAGGAAAAATCTAAAAAACTGGTTTAGTACTCAATTTCGATTGATTATTCCATATATCCTTGATTAAGGAACTCCACGCTTAAATGCATATATAGTTAGTTTTCATGTTTTGCCAAAGGTAATTCGGAAGTACATTTGTTGGTGCAGAATTAATGATAACTTTACCTAATATAATTTATATTTAAGTTTGGACATTTTTAAGAAATTGGTAAAAAATAATTTTTGCACAAACATAACCTTAAAATCAACCATTTTTATATTTAAGATCTCTAAAGAACGCCGACAACTGCATTTTAAACAACAAAATATACCTACGAAATCATGGCAACATAATATTATATATAATACATAATATAATGGTATTTTACCGTTGAGTGGAGACTTTCTTAATCAACGCTTTTAATAATGCTAAATGCTGTTTAAATTTAGACGACTTATTTGTTTGACGATTTTTACTGAATTGAAATGTTAACACTTTTCACGTTAATCACTAGGTACTAAAATGTGTATTTATTGTATCTAATAGGTACAATTTATATTTACAGAGCAATTTATTTCTTCATTCAGATTAATACTGTTTATTGGAAAACCGGTAAAAACTAAACCCAGGATTTCCTCTCGAAATACACCCAACAACACAACAAATTGAGCCACGGTTTTTTTTTCGGGATTTTTTAAAATTTTCCGATTTATTCTCAAAAACACTCGTTTGTAACATAAGCGTTGACAGCGTTGACAGCGTTGACAGCTACTTGTTACGATGATAACAGCCGAGTGGTGGCGCTACTAGCGATACTTCTTTAGCGTTTACTGCCTTGATACATAAATAACTATTGTCGTATATACTCTCACGTGCAAAATAATCGATCCACACAAATTTTCGATGAATTTCAATCGTAAATAACTTTTTTATTTGATGACGGATTTAAACGAATATTAAAGAATATTGTAGATAAATTAATGGACAATCGCTCACATTTAAAAAATAATACTAAAAAATAGACGTACGTTTATAATATACAGGTTTAAACAAAAAGATGTTTTTTACCATAAGTTTAAGGCACTGGCAAAACCGTATATTGTTCTAAATTAAGTTTTATTTATCAAGTCACATCTATTCTTAACAGTTTTGTTTTGGATCGATATATTTATTTTTGTGGAAAATATGGATTTTTTTAAAAAACATTGCAATTTCTAATATTTTTCCTGTATGAAGAACTAAGGTTGCTATGGTCCATCCATAGCCTATGGAGAATGACAGTGACAGTTTTGTTGAATCATCCCATACTTGGACATGTCATATACAGCTTTCAAAAGCTATCAAATTGTTTTTTGTACATTAATGTGTTAATTTTGAGGTGTCTTCTTACTTTTAAAAATGTCTCCGACTGATGTTGCCCTTTGTACTTTACTTCTTATGACGTTTAAAACACTTGCCACGTAATACTGTGACCGTCCATCCTGGATTAAATTAATAGCTCTGGCAACATCAGTCGGAGACATATCCATTTTATAAAGTTATAAAGTGCTCTTTTAGTTCCACCCTTACATCCAAACTAAGATGTCCCATAAGCCAACTGAATGGCTTGTGCGGGTTAGGGGTAGGAACGGACCGACGCGTCGGTCCGTTCCTACCCCTAACCCGCGACGGCTTAAAGTCCCCTCCGAAGGACTATACACAATGGACAAACACAAATAAACAACCATACCCAAGTGGGATTCGAACCCTCGACCTCTCGGCTCGTACCCAGGAGCTCTGACCACTACACCACCGAGGCCGGTAAGAAGACACCTCAAAATTTAAACATTAATTTGCAAAAAACAATTTGATAGCTTTTGAAAGCCGTGTATGACATGTCCAAGTATGGGATGATTCAACAAAACTGTCACTGTCATTCTCCATAGCCTATGGATGGACCGCAACCTTAGTTCTTAATACAGAAAAATATTGGAAATTGCAATGTTTTTTAAAAAATTCCACATTTTCCACAAAAATAAATATATCGAGGTGAACCAAAAACAAAACTGTTAAGAATAGATGTGACTTGATAAATAATAAAATTTAGAACAATATACGGTTTTGTCACTCTACAGAGTGTCTTAAACTTATGGTAAAAAACATATTTTTGTTTAAACCTGTATATTATAAACGTACGTCTATTTTTTAGTATTTTTTTAAAATGTGAGCGATTGTCCATTAATTTTTCTACAATATTCTTTAATATTCGTTTACATCCGACATCAAATAAAAAAGTTATTAATCGAAAATTTGTGTGGATCGATTATTTTACACGTGAGTATATATTAATTAGGCTAATTAATTTATTAAAGCATTTTAACAAAGTTTTAGCTTCCCATGTTTGGCTTAAATTTTGTTGGTTTATTTTTAAAATTAATAACATTTTAATTAAAAACTTCAATACTCTCCAGGACGAAGCAAGATGTCGTTTAATTCGTTTCTAAAATACCGTCCGGTATTTATCTTGCTCTTGACAAAATGCTTTAATTAAATATTTGATTGCGACGCTATTTATCCTAGCAAACTCAGCACACCTAGGTGGCCGACCCCTTCCATCGCCTCCCTGTTTCTTTTAATCCTTGCGAAAACTTCCGATAGCGGCGGGGGGCGGGGCGGCGCTCGGGGGCCTTTTAAAGAGGATTACCTGAGTTGGACCCGATGACTGGGAACCGGAGGCGGCAAAGAACTTTGCAAGCCGAAGTCGAAACTTTGTTACAATTTACGCACCTTTGATGGAAAGGTGGATCTTATTACAACTTCGCCCCAAAAGTACACTATATTGATAAATGTCTGGAAAGTTAAATTATTGGGGCGCCCTTTGATAAGTAGGTACAGTAAAAGAGCTATTTACGTTTGCGACCTTTGCTGCCCTTTAAAACTTATTCTGTTATAAATTTAAGTGGACTGTGCAAGTTGCAACTTGCAAATATTAAATACATTTTTTTCTACTTTCCATTTTTTAGATAATATTAAGTATTTAGCAAAGACAAAGTATAGCAACTTTTCTAGGAACTCATTTTACTAAGCACATAACATTTGTGACTAAAATGGCGTTTATCAAACTTGATACATGATCAGGCCCGGACTGGGACCATTTGGGGCCCTCAGCTAAAACCTGTAAAGGGGCCCTCTACCGGTGGTCTGAGAGGGTATGGAAATTATTTGAAAATTAGGTGCTTGAAAACGCGTTTTACGCGAAGAATAAATTCAGCTAGGTTTTTATACGAATATTATGATTTTCGACTTTTGTTGACTTTATTATTTATTAAAATAAGAAATTCACAGTATTTTTAGGATACCACAACACTACAAAACATGCTGTAGAACTGCCAATAATTATAAAGGAGTTCAAAATAAAGTGCAGTATTTTATTCACACCAAAGTATAATGAATTATGTCAAAATTAATAATGTAATAAAAATAATGTTATAGGGATTAGAAAAATAATACTAACATTTTTAAAAAAATCCTGTGTATTTAACAGTTTACAATATTGTTATACTAGAATAGAAGGGGCTTAACTTACCTGGGATGATTCGACATTTTACTTCTCTAACCCTAAAGTAAAAGCTTCTTTGTAAGCAACTCACTTGTTAAAGCTACTTCATCTATTATTTTATTTTTGTCCAAATTATAAAATAAATCCCTCTCAACATTAATAAAAAGCAGACTGGACATAAGGTCTTGGCCTAAAGACGACCGAAGTCGATTTTTTACTATTTTAAGTTTAGAAAAAACTCGTTCACATGTGACTTGGGTACAAGGTAAGGCAAAAATAAATTTATATGCAATATATAAGTTCAAACAGAACAGAAAAAGCACATGTTAAACACTGGAAACATTGTCTTTTTTCAGAGCAGTAAATATCAGCATTTTTTTCCGATTCTTCGGTTGGGTCCAAATCGTCTTCTTCGTCATTACATCTGTCTCCGTAGTTCTCAGTGGACTCTGCCGCTATGAAGTTGCTGTATTGTTGTGCAAACTGTCGCAGCTCCATCAACAGCCGACTTCTTTCAATTTTACACAGTTGCTCCTATTTTTTGCACTCTGTAAAACTTGTCATGAGCAGTATGTGTTCTTTTTGTTTCCTTTTCCCAGACGGCCATTCTCTTGTCTAAGATCTAAGAAATAACGCAGATTCTTCCACCAACCCAAACAAGTTCTCAGCTTGTAGTAACTTTACTGTTTAGTCAGCTACAACTAGGTTCAGTACGTGTGCCATACAGTGAGTATAAATAAGGTCTTTATTTTATTTTTTTAAATGGGCTTGTAGCCCATTGTAACAGCCTTTCATGTTGTTAGCTCCATTAAACCAACAAGCAATAATATTTGACATTGCAATGCTATACTCAGATAATTTTTTTTTAAACAATGGTGTGGGGTGGGAGTGGATGTTATTATATGTAGGAGAGGGGGGACCGCGCAGACGATACACCACAATAACGTAACTCAACTCACAACACAGTAGCTCCTATAAAGCTTTCGTATAAACAGTTGTTGGAAGTGTTCTACTTTTGAAAATGTAAACACATTACCAAGAACTCCAAATAACTTCTAACAAGACAAAAACTTTTTTTTGTACATTATGTGGGGACCCCTTTGGAGCCCTCTCGGGCAGGGGCCCTCCGCGAACGCGGACCTGGCCAGTCCGGGCCTGTACATGATATACTATTACCTAAACTGTAAAAAATAATTGGAAAATCACAATAAATTACCATTATTCTTATATTAATAATTACAATGAAAGTGGTATAAATATTTTAATTACATGTATATTTTTGTAAAATAAACTAAGTTTACAAAAATCATGTATTTTCTGTACATTTACATAAAATTTTGTGTATTCACAAACATATCTGTAATTATAAATACAAAAATGTAAATTTTCCTAGCATGCTGCCACCACCACTTTGTTTCCAGACTCCTACCAGGCAACACGTATATCTTTTAGAAGTGATATTTTTATAATTCTAGTAAGTATGTGTTTTTGTCTTTTTTGTACATGTACTTTTAAGAATATTGAAAAGTATGATGCCCACCAGTGTTTTCATAGGACTACAGGCAAGCATTTTAGATGTTTATTATGGGGCGACGTTTGTGCCATAATTATGATTTATAAAGTATATAATAATTTGTAAAAATATAAATATTTTGTTTAAAATATAAATAATTTGTTTGAAATATATATATTTTAACTTATTTTCCAAAATATATTTTAATTTTATTACTAAAATATATAATATTTTAACTAAATAATATATATTTAAAGCAGTAATACTAATAAAATACACTCAATACTAATAATATAAACTAAGCTTACAAGACGTAACGCCAGGAGGCGCTGGCAGCTTTATTTAACTTGGCAACGCAGCCTTTCTTTTATTTTATGTGGGAATTACTGTGGTGTAAATTAAATAACTTTTTGCCGCACTTTGGCTTTTAAATATTAGATACATGTTCAGTAACAAATAGTTTCTATAAAATAAATAATATTGCGGCTATTCGTTTACATATCATATTTTATCTAGTAACTTAATTTATTTTTAGATTAGGTACATCTTTTATTTTAATTTTAAGATTTTTATGTACATATTTTCTTAAAGTTAAATTTTAAAAATATAAAAGGCATAAAATAATTAGGTATATTTTTATATTTCTAAAATAACCTTACTTAAAAGTTTATTATTTGTTTTAAAAAGGAAATACTGTTTATGGTAAATGTATTTTTACTATTTTTTAAAATGTTTTTTGAGAATATTTTATTTGTTGAAATTAAAATATATGTATATTTAAAATTTTGTCTTTTTTACCTAATTTTAATTAAAATACCATTACAGTAAAAAATCAAATTCTGGTAAGTATGTATGTATTAACCTGAATATATTACATTATTATGTAAGTAATATTATATAAAATAATAAGTAAAATAGTTTAAAATTTAAAAATATATTTCATAAACAAGAATGTTAAATAGCATAATATTGAAGTAATTTTAAAAAATATTACATAAACCTCTATGTAAAATTAAGTAAAAATACTTAAAATTTTAGGGTAAATTTACAAAATTTTACATAAAGCTGCATGTAAAATAGGGGAAATACACAAATACTAAAATTTGTAATATCACATTTCATTTTCGAAATTTACAAATGGTTAGTCAAATTATATGATTTAATATACGTTACTTAATGCCATTTTTTACAGTGTACTATTACATTGACGAGATGTGACTTTATGGCGTTTTAGTCACGGGCTGAAGTTAACAACAGTGGCTTTTGTGCATCTTAGTCACGGGCTGAAGTTAGCTTTATTATAAATTGCGAAAAATTGATGTTAAATTCGTCAGATGTCAATCATTAATTAATTAAAATTGGCTTTAAATTCTTATTCCTGTTCGTCGAAGATAAAGTATAGTATGCTACTCGTTTTATAAACTTTTCTATACACTCGTTTTTATTAAACACTCGCTCGCAAGCTAATAAAACTCGTAACTAAAATGGCGTTTATAAAACTTGATACATAATATACAATTATTATCTTAATACAAAAAATAAAAGTATAATAGTATATTATGTATAAAGTTTTATAAGCACATTTGTCAACTATAGTTCAAAAGGGATCTATGTTAGTTAGAACATAAATCGTGTTTTTTTCATTTATTTTACTGTCCTTGTAAATTATTTTATTAAATTAAAATATTTGGTATGGGAGAATTTTCTATAACACTTTCGCAAAGAAAAAAAATGTCTTTCAAGCACAAATAAACACAATATTTTTTTTACAAAGTTATAATAAAAAAAACATCTGTGTACTGCAATTTAAAAATTAAAAACAACCACATTTATAATGCACAATTGTGGTTTCTTTTGTTAACATTAAACCTAATGGGATTTTCCTTCATAATGAGTATTGTGATTCGTCTGTCCGCATAATGTCTGCTAATTATAACGATAGTGTTTTTCTTTAATATCGCGCCAATACATAAATTCAAAACGATGATAGATTATTGCAGTTGTTTTAGTTAATTAGCCACGGACCGTGTTTGTACGATAAGCAGAGGGCATTAATTAATTAATTATTTAATTAAATATTATTTTGAATGGAAGATAAATGTATGGACAAAATTAGACAAATACATAACGGCATCATGATTAATCATTTTTTATTATCGCTCTCTAAAAATACTGTTAAACATATATTTAGAACAAAAGTGGATTTTTTTAGTATCATCACTTGGGGGAATCACAGAGATTTAGCAAATTTTTAAACAGAAACCCGATAAAATTTTAATTCGTCGTTTTGATTATACGATTTCTTGAAGTGAAAAATATTGAAAAAATTTAAAAAGAAATTTAAAGAGATCTCTTTATTTTTGTTATTAAGTTTACCAACCTGTACTCCTCTAGTAAACATGTTGTTAGCATGAAGATGGACTGCTGTAAATTCCCTGATGGCGTCAAATTCAAAAATTATTTCCAAGGGTTCTCCATCCCTGGTGTCATTATTCCAACCGACCCATCGACTTCCTGTAAGAAAAAAAATATTTAAGATGTGTTTTCTACTCCCACCATTAATTTAATAATAATAATAATAATCTTTATTCAAAAAAGCCTCTGGGGAACGAACACGTCAATACAAAATAATATAAATAGCTGTATAGTGTACAGGGTGGTCCACCCATATACTTATCTCAGAAACTACTACACAAAAAATTTGCAAGGGAGAAATATTTACTTAGAAAAAAATATTTTTAAAATATTTTATTTTTCATTTTTTACTTCGTAAATATTTCTCCCTTACAAATTTTTTGTGACTCCAGTAGTTTCTGAGATAAGTATATGGGTCACCTTAAGTGGACCACCCTGTACAATAAAAGTACACAAAGTATTAACAATAATTGAACATACAAGGTAAAGATAAAATAACAAGTTGGTAAAATAGGTTTTAAAATAGGCTTTCAACTAAAATATTTTAAAATTTATAATAATAAAATATCATATTTTTAAAATTTCAAGTTTAAATTTGTTATCATTTAGTGTTTTTATATGATGTGGAATATGATTATAAATTTTTGTTATTTAATTTTTCACACTTTTTTGAACTAATGACATATTTGTTTTATCAGGAACTAAAAGTTTTTTATGTCTAGTTTCATAATTATGAATTGCGAACTGCCTATAAAAAAAATTGAGTTTTCCTTAAAAACATAACACATTCTAAAAAATTATTATTATTCTTATTATTATTATTATTATTCTAAAAAAAGTATATAAATTGATGTTGCTGTGAGAATTTTAAAATTTTAAAAAAATGGTCTACACGAGTCTTTGTGCTGTAGGTTAAATATACTTCGTAGGAATGTTTTTCTTATATTTTATAAAACGCCCATTATCGTACATGTTTTCATGGCACTAAGTGATCTTTTAAATACAAGTTGTTCCTTTATGGAGCTTAAGTCACGAGCTGAAGTTAGCAACAGGTTTTTAGTCACGGGCTGAAGTTAGTTGACAGTTGCCTTTCTTGTAAAATAATGCTTAATATGAAAATTATTGTATTATATCAATCCAAAAATCCAAAAGTATTAAATAATTTCTTGACGCCAATATTTGAAAAGATTATTTGAACGTTTGCACTGACCTTTTTATTTCGCCGTGGAAGTGCAGTTAACTAGATTTAACTGATAAAGCGTACAGTGCCCATGCACATTCTCTTCTCTTCTCTTTTTCTTTGAAAAACTGCTTCTAAATCGATTGTATTTTCAAGAGATAAATTTTGATTTAAACAAAAAAATTGAGATTTTAACGCCGGATGATTCTCAAGAAATTCTAACGGGAATTCCAACAAATACAACTGTCACTTTTAAAACCTTTAACATTTCCCGTGTAAGAATTTTTAATACTTTAATATTTTTCAATTATAGTAATAAAAAAAATCAAAGGATAAAATATTTTCTTAACATAATCATATTTTGCAGTTATAGGCAATGTTAATGATGAAAATTACGTCAAAAATTGGGAAGGTTACTTTATTTTCGTATAGATGTCGCTTTATACATATATTTCATTTTATTTTTCATCTGAATATTTTATTTCACAATTCAATTTTGTTTTTTGGTATTTGTGACCTGAAATTTACTGTTTTACAACTTTTTTGTAGTACAATACAATATTAAGTAAATTTACCCAATAAAAATTGTATGTGAATTTACTTTACACCTTAAGTTTTAAAGGATGCAAAGTTAATCTACTGGTTTGAAAACAAAGAAAAATCTCGGTAAATAAAGTCAACAAAAACGTCTCGCTCGATTCAGTATCGGAACGTAATTCTCAAGTGTCTGTGAATCTGAGAGGATTTCACACACACAAACAGACACGCTAGACTTAGACTTAGACAAGACAAGACAGACGACGGAGCAGAATGTGTTACATTCGGGATAGAATTCCGAAATTGTTTGGTTCGGTCGTAACTTGTCGCAATAACTTTTGATACTTCGAAAGCGAAATGGGCTCGAAGAATTAGACGCTAATTCACTTTATATCGCACCGTTTTTGTATATTTGTTGTTTTTTGTATTTGTGTTTCTTAAAGCCGCACAGTTGTTAGGATTTTGCAAATAAAATATTTTTTCTACTCCCACCTTTAAAAAGCACTTTATCGTACATGTTTCCATGACACTAAGTGACCTTTTAAATACACAAGTTACTTTCACTGTGAAAAACTGTCAATTTTCAAGAAATACATATTGATTTATAACCTTTATAATTGTGTTTATAAAATATAAAAATTTGACATTTGACGGTGACACACAGATTCCCCTATTGTTTCATAAATGGCCTCTATACAAATTTTTGATTTAAATCATTTTAAGATAATAATAAGTATTTGTCGTAGAAAAAGTATAGTACCTATGAACCTTGTTTATAAACTCGCTCGCAAGCTCGCCTAAATTAAATTCGTGTATAAAATGGCTTTTATCAAACTTGATACATAATATACTATTATCTACTCCTACATTGACGAGCTGTGACTTTATGGCTGAAGTTAGCTGGGCATTTTAGTCATGGGCTGAAGTTGGCTTTATTATAAATTTGGAAAAAGTAAGGTTAAATCCACTGAAAGATGTTAAATTTTTAACAAATAAAATTGGCTTTAAGTTCTTTTTTGTGTTCTTCGTTGACGTTTTTATTAAACACTCAAGCTTTAATAATAATAATAATAATAATAATAATAATAATAATCTTTATGGTATTTTAGTCACGGGCTGAAGTTAGAAACAGTGGCTTTTAAGCTTTTAAGTCAAAGGCTGAAGTTGGCTTTATTATAAATTGGAAAAAAGTGAGGTTAAATTCGGGTGACAGTTAAAAGATTGTTAACAAATTAAATTGGCCCTAAATTCTGTTTTGTCTTCGTCGCAGATAAAATATAGTACGCAACTCGTTTATAAACTTCTCTAGACACTCGTTTTTATTAAACACTCGCAAGCTTCGCTCATGCTTAGTTAAACTCGTAACTAAAATGGCGTTTATAAAACTTGATGAATATTATACTATAATATACATACATGAAATTATATAAAAAAAATACAAAGAATTATAAAAATTTATAAGAATCATTAAACAGTTTTTATAAAAAATGAAATAAAAAACACAATTTTTAATAACGTTCATGACGTATAATGACGTTTATTTCTGGAAAACGGACAAAAATTACATTTGTCAACCATGTAAACTTTAGCAGCCTTATTTTAATTATTTCCATGCGTGAATCAAACAGTGTAAGTATATGAAATACGTATAAAAAAAGAATATTTTTTTTCTCGTCTCTTGTAAAAATATGTTAGTTGACCATGCTGTAAGAGCCCTGACAAAATATCAGCTCGATTAAAAAAAATTTAGGGGTCGCTCAAGATTTTTTAAAATTTTCAAAATCGTCAAAAATTGAATTTTTGTTTTATTTTAATTTTTTTTTCTCGTCTCGATATTATTTTTTTGATTGAAAATAATAAAAATTCTGTAAATTTCAAATCAATATTTTGATTTCTAAAGGTCGCTAAAAGTTCGTTAATATTTATATTCAGAGGTCGCTCAAAAACATTCGAAATACTCTACTTTGAAAGTTAAAAAAATCTTGAGCTACCCTTAGAAATCAAAATATTGATTTGAAATTTTCAGAATCATTAGTATTTTAAATTAAAAAATAATATCGGAACGAGAAAAAAATTAAAATAAAAAAAATCCAATTTTTGACGATTTTGGAAATTTTTAAAAATCTTCAGAGACCCCTAAAAATTTTTTAATGGAGCTTCTATTCTATTCTATTCGTTTTTGGCACACAGCGTTGCCAACTGTTTCAAACTTAAGTTTGTAATGGCTCAAAAACTATTGAAATGTTTTGAATAGTGTTTTTTCTAGCCTTTTTGCATTAGGGACCGAAAAACCCTTATAAAAATTATTGCACAAAAAATAGGGATTTAAAAAAATTAATAATCTTTAAAAAAAACTGAAATATTAATTCAAGCTAAAAACAAAAATTCGCCATTTTGGATCAGCCATTTTTAATTCTAGATTTTTGATTCCATTCTCGTAATCAGCGACCCTTAAAACAAAATTTACTTTGTGAGTTGTGTCCAGGAATTCGGGATTCCAGCCCACTGTGCATTGGTGAAATGTGTCACGTACAGCTTAACGTATCCCCAAAACAAATAGACGGTATCAGTTAAAGCGCGAATAAAATTAATTTGGCCGGGCGAGCGCTTCTTCTTTTTGCCATTTGTTTCAATTGGCTTCTTTAATTTCGAAAATTGCCGTCCCAGACGAATATTATCGACATACATTCTTTTAAACCAGCTAAATCTTAACTCCAAGGTCAACGTTTTAAGGTTAAGTTCAATTTTATGGTTATGAAAATGTAGCTACATCAAAAACTTAGGTTAGGTTGATAAAATTATTTTTCGAACTTCCAATACAAACTTTATTTTGATTAGTGTACATTTTGAATATTTATTTTTTAAATTAATAAATATTTAATGCGATGGGGCGAAATAAATTTAAACAATCTGTATTTTACTAAATTAGCCCCATTTTGTCATTCCATCTCAAAAACATTTCAATTTAAATGACTTTATACATATATATAACCCTCGTATGCAAATTTTAATTTCCCCACGGTGAATACGTTTGATTAAAACCGTATTTTAATATAAATTTCGAAAAACTGCCCGGAACTTGCGTCAGCTAGTTTTAAACAATAATATTATTGAAACAGCAATTTCATTGTAGATATTTGTTTATGATTTTTACTGTTCTATGAAATTCTAATGAAATAAAATTCTATGAAATACCAACCTTTTAGGAATTTTACATTAAATTTGAGCATAAACAAACTGCTTTATTAAAAAAAATATTTTATTAATTAAAATAATTATATAATTATTCTTGTTTTACATTCGTGGTCCTTTAGAAGTTTTCGGGTAACGGAAAAAGATATTGATTTGAAATTTTAAAAGCGTTTATAATATAATATAATTT